GGCCCCGCCGCCCTCAGCCCGGCCAGCTCCCGACAGCCACCCCGCGCCGCCCCACGTGACCACGCTCTCTGTCCCGCCCCCACTCCCCGTGCGTCCCCCACCGGCCTCGCTCAGCCTTATTGCTATTGGTCCCTGCGGAGAGACGGATTCCTATTGGCTTAATTCCAGACAGGGGGCGGGAGTCGCCGAGCCGGGGATTTTAGAGCCGTGCGGAGCAATCCGAGGCCGGAAGCCCTCGGAAGTCACGTGCCCCCCGGGCTGCGGGAGTGATTGGCTCGGGAGAGGTGAATGATGCCGCTGTGATTGCTGAATTGTCTGGGCAGGTAAAAAGGGCACGCGGTTTTATGCGGTGGGTTTTTTTTTTCCCTGGGATTGTCCATGTAGTCTGGCCTTGCGGCCCTCAGGGCGCTTTGCGCTGAACGTTGGCTGCAGGAATGACAAACGCTCGCGGCTTTGCACCCAGAGTGCACCTGCCAGCTTCCAATGCAAGTGATGCAGGAGGTGCTCTCTTGCATGCATTTTGCTGCAGTCAGGTAACGGCTTGGGGGCTCAATTTACAACATAGCATGTATTGGAAAGTCTTGCTGTAATTCTTCATAGGGATGTAGTTCAATGCATGGAGCAGAGGGTTAAAGGGCGTTTCATTCAGATGCATCCCACGTGCAAAAATTAATTCCAGGGTTCACTGTTGGAATAATTATTTAAGGCCTGCTTCCAACAGAGAATTTGGAGCCCCCTCGAAAGCAGGCGTCTGAAAGTAGAATCTTGGGCATTTTATTTAGGAGGCTGGGTCAGATTTGTGGGTGGAAGCTTTGGGATACTATATTTTATTTTTCCCAAGGATTTGCAGGTGATGGGGTGTCTCGGGAGGAGGGGATTAAGCTGACATTGCAAGTTCTGAAAGTTGAGAAGCTTTCCTTCATATATAAAGATGGTGCTACACTGACCCATTTCTTAGTTGATTTTCCCAAAGAGAAAGGAGGCTTTATCATTGGCCCTCGTAACACCAGTGCTGATCCCTGAAAAAGGGTGGTCAGGATTAGGAAGTCATTCAACAGCCAAGTATGGTGCCTGGAACTAAGAGAGTCATATAGCATATTTGGTTGTACAAAAAAAAATATTCAAGGAGGCTAAACCTATTCATGGAAAGCCTACAACCTTTATTTCTTCTCTAGGGTGGAAGGACAGGGAGGGAGCAAGGGATGTAGGAAAAGGTAACTGAGAAACCCATAGATGTTTTACTTATTGAATAAATACTTGTTGAGTGCTACTCTGTTCCAGGCAGTGTTCTAGATGTTGAGGTGGAGGGGCAAACCGGGCAGACAGGCTCCCTGCCTTTAGGGCGTTTACCTTCCAATGGGGAACACATCGTAAATAAATAACCAAACGTAAGTAAATGAGTGCTATGAAGAAGGTTAAACAGGGCAATGTTATGGTGAGTCAGGACGGTGAGAAAAGAACACCTCTGGGAGGAGGTGATATTTGACCTGAAGGAACTAGCACAAGGAAAAGCATTCCAGGGAGAAGGAACAGCAAGTTTCAAAGGGCCTGAGGCAGGGACAGCTGGCATGTTTGAGGAACAGAAAGGCTACTGTGGCTGGAGGGGAGTGGTTAAAGGGAGAGTGGAGGGAAATGAGGTTGGAGATTGGTGAACTCCATCAGATAGAACCTGTAGGCCGTGAACTGAAATTGGTTTTATTCTGATTACAATGGAAAGCCACTGGGGGTTCTAAAACATAATGTTTTGTATTCCCCAGTTAGGGCTCAGTTTGAAAATAGGACAATATAAATTGAGATTATGACCATTCTCAGAAATCCTAAACTGGAATCAGTGAGAGGCTAACCAGAGATTTGGAGCAGATGGAGTCATCTGCTTATAGCTACTCATGGTGCCCCAAGACTTATTATGAAGTTCGAGTCATCCATGGACTACTCATGTAAGTATTCTATTCCATCCAGGGTTTGGAGTCTCTAGTTAGCTCCCCTGACCCGTGCATCCATCTGGAGAGAAAGAGGAGGGCAAGGCCGGCTTTCTGTGGAATCCAGTGGTCACATCCCCATCAGGACCCCTGAATGCCTACCTTCGGTGTGGTCAACATGGAATTCTGAAGTCCATGTGGCTCCTCACAGTAAACAAGGTAACGTGTCTCCATGAGAATTCACATCTTCATTACCACTTTATTCAATGTGAACTCTGAGGAGAAGCTTTGGGTTCAGCCACTCTACCCCCTCCCATTTAACAGGTGAGGAATCTGGGCCACAGATAAGTTACTGATTTGTCCAGAGTCACACAGCAAGTTAGGGGCATCATCAGTCCAGAATCCACATCTCTTACTGCCAGTCTGCAACTCACTTCATCTCATCCGTCACCTCTTTGCTGCATAATTCACTGCTTTCCTGTCTCCCATAAGGACTTCCTCCAGGTCTCGGTCTCAACATCCTCATCTGTGAAATGGGGTGATAACACTTTTCTCAGTAGGATTGAATATTGAATGGCATAGCAGATGGAAACAGGGTTTGGAAAATGTCAGAGCGCTCTAGGGATGTGAGATAAGAGTAGTCCTTATTTATGGTTACCATGGCAATCTGACAGGCAGTGGGAATGTTGGGAGACTCTGCCTTATGCCATGTGTTGGCTTTCAGGTCCTAAGGAAAATGCAGAGACGCCACAGCAGTAACACGGATAACGTTCCACCTGAAAGGTAGGCATCTCTTGGTTTCCTTCCATCGGAGGGCTCTGGGCTTTGCGTGATCAGGGGCAGCCCAAAACTACATTGAATAATAGCTGCCTCTCAGGGTCACTTGCTCGAGGAGCAGAGGAGATCCATTTAAAAACTGCTTTGCACAGTGATGGCACATACTACTCAGTACATAGCAGCTCTTATGGTAATTCTCAGACCCTGTGTGAAAGGTGATGCACTTGATTCATTGTGTCAATGATCGTACCCATGAGATTTTAATTTATGGAGGTGACTGAGTGACAATATGGAGAGACTAATGCCACTGAAAGAAGAGCTTTATTACTTACATTTCCCTAGAGAAGGGGGCATGTCACACCATGTAGGGCCACATGGGGAATCACCAGGATCGGGAAGGAGGCAGAAAGGAGCAAAGGGAAAGCATAGCCCAGTTTTTATTGTATTTTCTGCACAAATCAGGCCAGCTTAGCATTGTCTACTTTGAGTAATGTCAGTGGGCTCTGGGCTGTAGGGATGGCCTCTGGTTATCTGGTACCTGGTCCTGGGTGATATGGGGCAGGAGAAATATTGGCTGGATATGTGAGCATTAAATCAAGGAGGTGGCTGGGGATATGGGCTGTGGGTTGCAGGGAAGATGTAAACAACATTGGCTGTTAGTTTGACCCTGTAATTAATGGATGCCAAATAGACAAATACAGAATCTAAGAAAACACAGTTAAAACACTCATGAGCTAGAATTTCTCTAGTTAAGCCCAAGAGAGAACACACCATGGGACCTGTTCTCAGGTTGTGACAGCCTCCCAGCCCCAGCCCCAGTGCCATGCTGGCACATACATGCAAGGAGCAGGCAGCCAAGCTTTTCCTCCCTCATATCCCATTCCAGTTCCCTTTTAACTCCAAGATTGGGTGCAAAATCAGAGTGTCCACCAGTTCCAGAGTAAGTGGCACTTTCTCTGTGCCACTGATGAGCTCAGGACTATTTTTATCACCATTTTTACAGATGAGGAAACTGAGGCTCAGAGAGTAGAAGTAGATTACCTAAAGTCACACAGGAAGTGGCAGGGCTGAGATTGGGACCCCCGTCCATTTGCCCCGACCCTCACTCCAAGTCTGTGCTTTGAGCCAGCACATTTTGGCTGCCTCCTATCTGGGCAGATCCACTCATCTCTTGGATTGCCTCCCACACTAGCCCTTAAGTGGTTAAGTTAGAAGCATAGCCTCTGCCTCCCCAAAGAATATTCTTTCCCATTTAGGCTGAAATCTCGGCTGGATGCTAGGGCCCAGGGAAGGGAGGCCAGCTATAAAAAGCCACTTGGTGGATTGAATCTTCCCTGGTTGTACTGGAGGTCCCCTGAGCCAAGTAAATTCAGAGTGTTGGCAAGCTTAAGGGGGCCAGGAAGACTTTTGAGGTCCTCGTGGGGTAGTGGGGGAGAGAGGGTGGCCCCCATGTGGGCCAACGTGGGCACCTGCCAGGACTCCTTCTATCTAAGCTCAGCTTCTTAAAGTGCAGAAAAAACTCGAGGCCCCTTGAGCATCATAGCCATGGTGTCAGTTGTTGTTGTTGTCATATTAATATTATCTTTATTATCTTGCCCAACCCATGGGAGTAGGACCACACATTTCCTGGGATTTCTGGAGGCAGCAGGGGTTGGTCAGGTGGTAGGGGAGTAGGTAGCCCTCTTCAGGTTCCCCTCCCTTACACCAGGTCTCTGATAATTTACCTGCAGGTTAAGTTTGTGAAGCCAGAGTAACCAACCCTGAGATCTCTCCAGACCAGCATTTCCCCTGCTGGGTTTCGCAGGTGTTCTATAAGACAGATTTTCCACAGAAAAAAAGAATTACATGGTGAAATACATTTGGGAAACACTAGGTTTAAGCAAAATTATTCTTCCATTTGCAGGCCTTCTCAGAGCCATCAGTATGCTCATTCATTCATTCTTTCAAACACTATCTTTTAAGCATGTTCTGTGTACCAGGTGTATTGTGCTGGGTAGGAGAGATTTACAACGGGGGTAAAAAAAACATGATCTATTTATTCTCAGTGCTTACTACACACTAGAATCACCTGGGGGCTCTGAAGACAGAGAATGCCAGGCCCACCCCCAAAGATTTTGGTTCAGTTGGGCAACACTGGGTCCCAGGCACTTGTATTTTTCAAAAGCTCCCCTGCATGATTATAACATGCAGCCAGGGTTGAGAGCCACCAGTAAATAGTGAATCATGACTTGTGATCAGTCCCATGCAGCTGATGTCAGGATGCAATGAGCATTAGAAGTAAGGAGGTGTCGTTTTCTGGGGTGGTAGGGTAGACTTCACCAAGGAAGAGAGATTTAGCCCAAATCTGAGGGATGGGCATAGATACCAAGGTGGGACAGGGTGAGGGATGACATCCAGCCAAGGGGACAGCCTGTGCAAAGGCCCTTACAGTGGGAAGCCTTGGGTAGTGAGAGAAGGGCACATGAAGAGCTTGGAGTTTGGGGCTAGATAATCCAGGGTGTCTGACAAGTTCGTTTCCCTGAGCCTTAGTTCCTTTATCTGACCAGCTGTGCAACTCAGGACAAGTTACTATCTCCCTTTCTCTTTCTCTGTGCCTCAGTTTCTTGAACTATCAAATGAGGTATTATTAGGACCTTAATTCGCAGGGTTTGTAGGAGGGTTTAATGAGTTAATCAGTGGAAAGCGCTTAGAAAACTGTCCGGTACCTAGTAAGTTTTCAATAAAGATCGTGTATTATTTGTATGAGTTTGCTAGGGCTGGCGTGGCAAGGTGCCACAGACTGGGGGCCTTAAACAACAGAAATTTATTTTCTCCCCACCCTGGAGGCTGGAAGTCCAAGATCTAGACGTCATCGGTGTTGGTTTCTCCTGAGACCTCTCTCCTTCGCCTGTAGATGTCCTCACATCTTTTTCACTGTGTGTGTGTCAGTGTCCAAATTTTCCCTTCTTATGAGGATGTCAGTCATATTGGATGAGGGCCTCCCCTAATGACCTCATTTTCATTTGGTCACCTCTGCAAAGGTCCTGCCTCCAAATACACTCACACTGTGATGTCCGGGGGGTGGGGGGTTAGGGCTTCAACATAGGAGTTTGCAGGGAGACAGCATTCAGCTTATAACATTCTTGATACTGTTACTTGTCCCCCAGTCTCCAGTGGGTGACTGTCTTTCCATCTGCCTGACCCCGCGGGGCTTTCTCTTCCCCTCTGGCCCAGAAATCGCAGCCAAGCTCTCAGCTCCGAGGCCAGCGTGGACGAAGGGGGCGTCTTCGAGAGTCTGAAGGCAGAAGCGGCCTCCCCGCCAGCGCTCTTCTCCGGCCTCTCGGGCCTCCCGACGGGCAGCCTCCCCGCCGCCCCCTTCCCGTCCAGCCTGGTGCTGGGCGCCTCCGCCAGCGGCGGGGACGTGTTCATCCAGATGCCCGCGTCCAGGGAGGAGGGTGGAGGCCGGGGCGAGGGCGGCACCTACCACCACCGCCAGCCCCACCACCACTTTCACCACGGCGGCCACCGTGGCAGCTCGCTGCTGCAGCACGTGGGGGGCGACCACCGGGCACACTCCGACGAGGGGGGCGACGAGCAGCCGGGCACCCCCGCCCCTGCCCTGTCCGAGCTGAAGGCCGTGGTCTGCTGGCTCCAGAAGGGCCTGCCCTTCATCCTGATCCTCCTGACCAAACTGTGTTTCCAGCATAAGCTCGGTGAGTGCCAGGGACACGGCGACTTCAGCTGGCGGTAGGGGGCTCTCCGTCCCAAATGCCCGGCGGAAAGGATGGGATTCTGAGTCAGACCTGGGTTCAGATCCTGGCAGACGAGCTGTGTGACTTCAGGCAAGTCATTCGCCTTCTCTGAGCCTCTGTTTTCTCCTCTGCGCAGTGGGGGTTGTGATAGAAGCTCCCTTAGCTGGCTGGGTTTGTGGGAAGGAATCAAGTATAGTAACTAAGAGTTCATAGCACTAGGGTCTGAACTCAGGCTCTGCCCCTTCCTAGCTGTGTGACGCTGGATACGTTATGTAACCTCTCTGTGCCTCATCCATAAAATGAGAGTTATAATAAGGCATACTTCATGAGGTTGCAGAGAGGTCAAATGAGTTAATATGTGTAAAGTATTTATGACAGCGCTGTGCAAGTGTTGGTCAGTATTTTCCTTATTAATACACATAAGATACTTAACATAGGACCTGGCACAGAGCAGGTGCTCAATAAATACTACCTATTATGAGTAGGATTAGGTATTAGGAAGTAAGATAATGACTTATTAAGGGAATAGCCTAGAACCTGACATGCACATAACACTCAATAAATGCTCTCTGTCCACTGTTGTTATTGTTGTTTTTCATTGTTATCAGATCACGGTGTTGCTGTGCCCTGCGGAGTTTGAGGCTGTTGTTTTAGTCCTATAGTAGGAATTACAGTACAAATGAGCTCATGGCCTGCTCCCCCCCATAGACAGTATCTAGAGGAGATCAGGCCATTCTCTGTGCCTTATTTGCCCCTTCCTGATGGTTCTAGCTGACTCACATCGCCCCACCTTCCTTGTTGGGGTGTTACCGTGGCAGCCCCTCCCTTTCCATTCCTAGCGATGGAAGCGAGCGTGTTCCCTTTTTGTCCTGAGACTCAAATTTTATTCTCAAGAATGGTCATTTTTTTTTTCCATTTGGTAGGCTTGTTGGTTTGGTTTTCACTCAAAGAGGAAAATACAAGAAGGGATTGTAGGATTATCCGTTTTTATTTTATATATTTCCAATGAAGAAATACATCTTTGACAAAGCAGAGCCAGAAAAATACCTGGAGCTCATGAGCAATTAAAAAAATTAAAGTGAGCTCCAAGTATGAGAAGCCGCGCCTGTCGTGTGAAAGCAGAGCCCTGTCCGCAGGTGATGAAAGGTGGGGTTTGCGAACCCCTGTTCAGGGAGCATTCCTAGAGGGCGGCTCGGCAGACAGGGGCAGTCGAATGCGGTGAAGTAAGATTCAGTTCTACTCCCCCATCTGCCAGGGTCATGTGGGGTTTTTTGGTCAGCAGGAATTGTTTCCCCTTTAGAATTAAATTTTTATCCCTTATGGTGTCACGGTCTTTCTCTTTGTATGCTTTTATTACAAATAACACACGTCAGATTCTTTTTGAAAGTAGAAATTATAATAGGTACCATTTACTAACTGCCAGAGATGATGCTCGATAAGCATTAGCCCTCCATGAAGTAAGTACTGTTATTATTCTGTCCATTTTATAGACGAGGAAAGGGGGGCTCAGAGAGGTGCAGTGACTAGCCTAAGCTCACACGGAGAGGAGGTGGCAGTCAGGATTTGAACCCAGGTCTTACCAGACTGCACAGCCCATGCTCCTAACTGGCTCTATGAGCTGCCCCAGAGTAGCCTCGATCCCATCCCTATGTCAGAAGCTTGAACTCAGAGTGGCTCAGAGGTCCCAGAAATGAGACTGGGCCCAAATCCCCCAGAAGTAAGATTTTTCTCCCTTCTGAAGTTAGCCTGTAAACTCTGAGAGGGCCAGGGATGTGTCTTTTAATGTTGCGCACCATCCCTAGTAAGCCAGGGCCAGGCCTGATGAGTCTAAATGGTGGCGTTGGGCCCTCCTCTGTCCCGCAGGTATTGCCGTGTGCATCGGGATGGCCACCACCTTCGCCTATGCCAACTCCACTCTCCGAGAACAGGTCTCTCTGAAGGTGAGTCCCCTGGTGAATGGGTCTCCTATGGCTGCTATAACAAAGGACCACAAATGTAGTGGCTTAAAACAACATCAGCTGATTATTTTACAGTTCTGTCAATCTGAAATGAGTCTCTGTGCTAAGACCAGGGTGTCAACAGGACTGTGTTCCTGCTGGCTGGTCTAGAGGAGCATGTTTCCTTGCCATTTCCTGCTTCTGGAGGTCACCCACATTCTTTGGCTCCTGGTCCCATCCTCTTTGAGCCAGCTCCATTGCAGCTCTGTGACCATCTTCCATAGTCACGTCCCCTTCTGACTCTCCTCCCCCACCTCCCTCTTCCACTTCTAAGGACCCTTGTGATGACATTGCGTTCACCTGGGTAATCCACAGTCTCCCCACCTCCAGATCCCCTGATTTGCAACCATAATTCCACCTGCAGCCTTAATGCCCCTTTGCCATGTGACCTAACATATTCATATGTTGCAGGGATTAGGATGGGGACATCTTTGGGAGGCCATTCTGCCTGCAGCCCGTTGGCAGATCTCTTGATGGAGTTTGGGGGGGAGAAGGGCGCAGTCATTCTTATTTCATTTTCCCAGTAGCATACAGTGGCACAGAGACACTCTGGTCCTTCTTTGGGGCCATCTGCTTTCTCCAAAGCTCCTGGGGCTCCATGAGGCATGGAGCTCAGCTCAGTCTCCATTGGACACAAACCCGTTGGGGTCCAGAGTTGGGCATGGAGCCAGAGGACCTTCCTGACCCTCAGTCTCATCTTCTTCATGCAAACCCCTTTCCGCTGCTGTTAGAACAGCAGGTTGGTCACCATCGTGGGAGGCTTTGGGGACCGGCTGTCTCTCAAACACAGTAACATCCAGGCAGGGCCTTGGCTTGAATTTTAGGGGGTCAGAGGATGCTGTATCCTTGGACAAGCTTGTAGGTGTCCTTGAAACCCATGCAGTGAAGATACAGGTGATGTCTGAACGTATTTTCTGTGAAAGAGAGTCTCCACGACCCTTTGTAGGCTTAGAAATCTCAGCTTACTGCTAGAGAACTACCGTCTGTGTCCTTCAGTCTGGCTTCTCGGGGCACCGCTAATTCCCTCTTTCTCGCCCACCTTCGGTTTGGATTTACAGAGGACTCAACTGGAATCCATTATTTATTGGGGTAAAAAGGGCTGCCGAGTGGATTAATCACATTGATAAGAGCAGTCGGTTGGTTGGAGGTGGTTTCTAGGGTCGTTAACCTTGACCGCTCCTGGAATAATGGGTGGATGGAGATGCATTTATTTTGTCTACTCTGGAAATATGCACGGTAAGGGTGCGTGGGGCGCTGAGCTGTGTCTGGAGACAGTGGAGCATTTACCGAAACCGCAGGGAAGGTTACACTGGGAAAGATATGACCTCATCCTGTTCCAGCAAGGCAGCCGCCCTGGTCCAGGAAGAGGCGAGCTTTTGAGAAGCAGCGGCACGGGGGTCTACGTGTGTCTCCCGGGGTCCGCAGGCGGGGACACGCCAGCCTGGCGCCGCCTCCAGAAATTTCCTGGGATGGCTCTCAGGCCAAGAAGCTGCTGGGAAATAGCAAACCGAGGATGCTTTCCAGCTTGTCTTCCTGGGGACTGAACAGAAACGAGGCTGGAGAAAGAGAAGTGGGACCGGGTTGCGAAGGGCTTTGATGGCCGAGTGTACGAGTTTGAATTCAATCCTGTAAACGTGGCCCTACGTTGAACAGTTGGTCCAGGGCAGTAGCCCCGATGGCCATGCTAGCAAAAGTGAGAACAGGAATTTCCAGTTTGTAGTGGTGAATTGTCTACTGGGTTGTAAAGTCTGAGTACTAGGTCCTACCATTTAGCGAGCCTGAAATATGAGCCATGCCAGACTGAATATTGACATTTATGAATTTTACTTACTCCTTAACAAAACCCCCATTTTTAAATGAGCAAGAGTTACTTCACTAGGTCGCAGGTTCGATTCCTGGTCAGGCCACATGCCTTGGGCTCAATCCCAGGTAGGGGGTGTGCAGGAGGCAGCTGATCAATGGTTCTCTCTCATTGATATTTCTCTCTCTCCCTCTCCCTTCCTCCCTAAATAAATCAATAAAAAAGAAACATATTTAAAGAGTTACTTACCCTCTCAGTGCCTCAATTCCTAACACTAAATGTGAAATAACATTTACTATATGTCAGGCACTGTTCTAAGCGTTTATGTACATTAATGCTCCAACCCTGTAGGAGAGATACAATATAGACCCATTTTACAGATGAGGAAAGGGAAGTGAAAAGAGTTTAAGTAACTTGTCCAGGGTTGGATGGTTCCTCGGTAGCAAACCAGGGATTTGAACTCAAGCTTCCAGCTCCAGAGTCTGCACCACTAACCACTTTGCCCTCCTGCCTCTCCAGATAATTCTCCAAGCAGGTGTCCACATTTCTGTCACCTTCTCTGTGACCATCGCTTGGGTCCCAGTGGGAACAAAGATGCCAGTGCCCTTCCTTTCACTACTGCCCTACTCCCTCCAGACCTTTGAGAAAGGGAAAAGTTGTCACTTGTCAGGAAACATTTGGGAATGTTCTGCCATGTGCACCTTTGGCATTGCAGCACCCCCACAAGATCTCTTGCTTTGCATCTGCAGGAGAAGAGGTCGGTGCTGGTCATCTTGTGGATCTTGGCCTTCCTGGCGGGGAACACCCTGTATGTGCTCTATACGTTCAGTTCCCAGCAGCTGTACAACAGGTGAGCAGGGGATCTGACCCCCAGTGGGAAGGCGGGGGACTTTGATGGGCTGAGAGCACACAACCCTTCACTGGAGAGCAATGCACCAACTCTGTGCTGCGTTGTAACTTTCACATTCTACCTGTTCTTGTAAACGCACAGGCCTAGAGCAGAGCTGGCTCTCTAGTAGAAATATAACATAAGCCCCGTATATAATTTTCTAGTAGCCACATAGTGGCTGGTGGGGGAGGGCTGGCCAGTGAGGGCTTCTAGGATGAGATTGAACCGTGAGCCAAGCTTTCCGATCGTGTACATCTCTTTTGAAAATTTACTATGAGGCATGAGCCTTTTTGCCATGTTCTGGGGCCACCCCATAAAAGCAATTTGGGGAGTTAGTGCCAAGGCATCAACTCACACATCTCACACACTGCATTAGTCTTATGGCCCGGAACATCAAAATCCTAGTGGAGGCTCCAGGAGGTGGAGCTTCCCAGAAGCATGGATGAGTTTCCAGCTCATGTCTTTCTCTGGGCATGATCACAGGCACAGGCACAGCCCTCCGTGCCCCTATCAAACCAGGGCTGAGTCAGACCTGCAGCACAGAAGGAAAGAGAAAGTCAGAGAGGGAGAAGCTTGGCAGAGGAACAGCAGAGCTGAGCCCCCTTCCTGTGGATGTCGGTGGCCTAGAGGTGTTTGTAAGTGATACCTCCCAGCAGGGTCTTGCTGTCCCCATTTCACAGATGAGGAAACTAAGGCTTACTGAAGCCCTTTCCAATGAGTCTCAGTGCCAGTAAGTAGCCCTATAGCAAGCTTGAATTTTCCCAGGATGTGAAGTCTGATGACCGACGTCAGAAAATCTTAGTCCTGCCATTTACCAGCTTTGTGCCTTGTGGCAAATAATGGATCCCCTTTGAGACTCCCCTAGTTTCCTCACTTGTGAAATAGGGACCCAGTTCATTGTTGCCGTACCCACCTGAACAGGCTAACTATAAGGGAGGCCAAATGTGATAATACATGAAAAGTACTGTGTAAACCATGAAACATTTGACAATAATAATCACATAATTAACATTTGATGATGAAATACTGTACCTATGGGTGGTGGTGCCTAATAGGAGCAAAGCTGACAAATATATCAGTTTATTAAAGTTCACAGCGTACATTATAAATAAATGGACTTAACAGTTAGCCTGTGGAAAAACACTTTTGCACGGCCCCTTCTCCAAACACCAAAACGGAAAAAACACTTAACATGGTGAATTAAAACCCAGATCGGTGAATTTAACACCGACTGGTGTCCCTGAGAGAAAAGGAAAAGTGGAAGGCAGATCTTGGTTTTATTGCAATCACAGAAGCGTAAGCGCATGGAAGCCAGCCAGCCTGCGGGGTCGCCGGGGCCGGACAGAGCAGAGGCAGAGAGGAGCTCAGGGCTGCCGGCCTCTCCCCATATTTGAACACGAACAAGTGCTCACACTTGGATGTGAAGCAGTCCACGGAGACAGGGTGAGGGGATGGCAAGACCCGGAGGGTGTTGTGAGAGATTGCCAAAATAGGTTGTTTTCATTGATTTTTCCCTTTTCTAGCTTTTGGAAGATTTTATTATAAGTAGAAACCGGTTTTAAAAAATAAAAGTGAAAAAAATAGACCTGCTCATTCCTAGGATATTATAATAAGGGGCCTCAGTTTTGCACCTCTTTCCACCAGCCCAGCAGAGTATAGTAGCCCCCCGTTATCCACGGCAGATGCCTTCCAAGATCCCCAGTGGATGCCTGAAACCACGGATAGTACCGAACCTGTTTTTTCCTATACATACATACATACATACCTGTGATAAAATTTAGGGCTTCCTTGGGCATATTTGAATTGGCAGCATCACTATTCTTGCACTTTGGGGCCATTTTTAGTAAAATAAGGGATGGTGAGATACAGTGATTAAAGAGCTTAGCACAGTGTCTGGCGCATCAGTTTTCCTTCTGCCTCCTCTCTCTCCCTCCGTCATAGTGTTGGCCTTTCTTCCTTCCTTTCTTCTGCTTCCTCTTGTGAGGCCTGTTATGAACCCATAAAACTGGAGGGGACCTTAACTAATGATACCCCAGGCCAATCTCATCTTTTAACCCTCAGGTAACTGAGGCTCAGAGAGAGGTGTGACCTGCCTATGGTCACACAGCAAGTTACTAGCAGATTCAGGAACAGGATACAGTTCAGTGCTCTTTCTATAGCTCATATTTATAAGGCTCCCAGAGTGAGTAGAGGGGCTGCTGAGAGCCAATGATCATAAGTGAGCATCCTGACCCTCTGAATCCTTCCCACAGCCTCATATTTCTAAAGCCCAACCTGGAGACCCTGGACTTCTTCGATCTGCTGTGGATCGTGGGGATCGCAGACTTTGTACTGAAGTACATCACTATCGCCCTCAAGTGCCTCATCGTAGCCCTGCCCAAGATCATCCTGGCTGTCAAGTCCAAGGTAGGCACTGGCTGCGGCCACCAGGTAGCCCCAATCACACATGTGGGAGATTCAGGGTGCCCTCTGGAGGAAGAAAGAATGGGCAGGGCTGATGTCATCGTATCAGATGAATGGAACCTGAACTGGTAGATCCTGTCACTCACCTCTTACAATTCCTTGAAGCTGGGCATGGTTCTTTGTTGTCAGCACCTGCCCGTGACCCCTCTACTCCAAGTGCATTTCCTAAGTTTCATTGTTCAGAGCTGCCCTCAATGCAGTTTTCGTCTGAATTTCATCTGAGAAAGGAAAAAAGCATGTTGGCATGCCCTGGTTCTGTTTCTCCCAGGGAAGGGTGGCTCTCATAGGTTTTGACGCTTTGTGGCTCCAGGAGTATGTTTTGTAAAGGGAACCTAGGCTCAGAAGGAAAAAACTCTGTGATCGATTAGTGATGTCTGCTGTGGACACAGGATGGGAAGTGATGGCAAGAATATTTGCAGGGCACCATAGGGGAAGGCCTGCAGGCAGATTGAAGAGGTCTTGTACAGGGATAACTATTATAATTCAGAGGACTGAGCAGGGCTAGGACCAAACAGCACCTTTAGGCTATAACTTTTGCCAGTGCCTCTGCAAGAAGACCCCAAGCAAGGAGTGTGGAAAGAGGCAGATGGACTAAACAGGAGTCTATTGAGAGTTACCTCATGAGAACAAAAGAAACGCCAGGAAATTCCACAGGATTTAGGAGTTCGGTGTGAGATGCTCCCGTCACTCAAGAAATTGTGAAGGTCATAGGATCTCTGTGTCAGGAATTAGGATCAAAGACTAAATGTTAGAACAAATGATTCTTGTAAATAGGGATGCTGGGAGTGGGGATAGAGACCAATATGTATGTTTCTTATTACTTCACACCAGGGTAATCTAAGTCTGATTTTGCACCCTCCCCG